CATTTTCCATGTGAGAAAGTTTTCATTGTCGAGGTTTTATAGAAACTAGTACTATTGTTTGAGGGACAATTGAAGATTAGGTAATCAAAGCCATTGAATCCAAGATTGTTAAGCTCTGATACTATGAAAGGTATTGGAATTGTAGCAAAAATATAAAGAAAGAAAATAAAAAAAGAATTGGGAGAGAGATTGAAGAAGTATATATATATATGTTGATTAACTCTATATTCACAAGAAATAATGAGATTTTATATAAGTCGATACATAACGTAGGGAAGCCACAAAAATGTACCAAAAAAACAAAAAAAAACATAGGAAATTAAATAACAAGAGAAAAAAACTAACTATTATCTAACTTTATTTTTTTAGTTCCCTTTACATTTGCAATTGTCAATAATATTCTCAGATTATGCACATAGGACAAAAACAAAAGATAGGGATGTTGCCTATGTTCTTTTGTAAAGATTTTAAAATAAAATTATGAGGATTAGAATTCAAATTTAATTCAACATTGATTATGTAATACTTTGGGCGTCTGGATGTAGGCATATGGAATGATAAGAGAGTAACAGTGTGTAAGGACTAAAGAAAGAGCGATGTGATGCTTATGTGAAGGTATATGGTAATGAAGAGAATACATATGCATGTCTCATGGGTATGACGTAAGAGTATCCTAACGTGGATCCGAATCCCTTCCAGTTTACATAGGAACTGGACTACAGTTTTTTCGCTTAAGCGAAGAAGCTAAATTTTGCCAAGTTGCTCGTAGTCTCCCACATCCTTCACCCGCTCCATTCTTCCCCCACCACACCCGTAGTCTTAGCAATCTTCCCCCACCAAGTTTTCTTGCTCTTCTTCTCAATTCCTTACTCTCTTCTTCACTTCCCATCATCAGAACCACAATCTTTGCAATCTCTTCTCTTCTCACTACATCCAAATCAACACTCAATCCAAAACTTGTTTTCTTTAGAGCCTATCAAGACTCCAATTTTCAAGACATCAACCACTAGCTTCTCATTGTAAAATTGGTTTGCATAGGCCATGCAATCATTGGTAAACCAGCATGCACGCTTTCAAGAATGGAATTCCAACCACAATGAGTCATAATACCTCCTATGGCAGGATGGTCCAATATTGATGTCTAGTTCCATAAGACATAATCCTTGTTAGTTTCTTTCATACTTTGCTCAAAATCTTGCTTGAAAGTACCTTCATTCTCATTTCCATGTGAGCCCGTGGGTTAGGCCTTTATAATAAAGTACAGACTCATTTTGCTTAATGGAGTCGTTGATGGAGGAGATGCAAGTGGCAAAGAAGTTGGGGGAGGAGATGCGGGTGATGGGGAGCAAAGGAACTGCAGAAAGAGGAGTTATAGGGAGAGGGGAAAATGGGATGTGGTGACAAATAATCCAAAAGCTCCAAGAAACATAACACTAGAGTTCTCTAGAGGAGGGTGACAACATTGGTAGGAGAAATGATGGAGGAAGGTGGAATGACAAAGGAGGAAGGCTAGCAGAAGAAGGTGGGGTGGCTACTAAAGCGGGTGAAGATGTATGAGAGAGCAAGGAATTGAGATGAAGAACACGAAAACTTGGTGGAGAAAGATTGTTAAGACTGCAGCTGTGGTGGCGAAAGAATGGAGTGAGTTAGGGATGTAGAAGACTCTGAGCAACTTGACAAAATTTAACTTTTATGTTTAAGCAGATATATTTTCGCTTCAATAAAGATAAAATTGCAAGTTCAATTCTCACAAACTGGATGGGATCTAGATTCATCCTAACATGTATAGACATACGTACAAAGAAAAAGTGATTTTAAAAATTTTAATTATTTTGTTCAAACATAATCTTAACATTTTTTGTTTAAGAGATTGACGGATTATTTTAAAGATTAGTTTGAAAAAATATAAAACATTCATTATTTTTTTGTAAATAATTTGTTTGGTGTAGTAGTTACAAATAGCAATTATCTTGACAATTTTATATTGATTACAATTTTTTTAAGACATTTACTAAAACATTAACTTTTTATATAAAACAGTTATAATAAAATAAATAAATAAGTGGTATAGTTATTTAAAATAATTTTTAAAAAAAATGTTTTAAAGTAGATCTCATGATTTTAGCGTAGATCACTATTAAGTAGTAAATTAAGAATCAAATATTACTTAGTTATTATTAGTGATATGAACGTAAATATAAATCAATATATTCAATTTAAAAGATCCAATAAAAATTCAACAATAATTGATTGTAGTTACTTCTGCTCTTACTCTAATAGTTACTTTCATAGTTACTTTCATAATTATATTTGTGAGATCACTTAATCATATATAAATTAAATAAAAGTTTCGATGACAGAAAAAAAAAAACATTAAACCTTCAAATTTTTTTATTTGAGAAATTTGATAGATTCTTAACAATATTAACTATAAAAAATAGAATCATTCATAATTATTAAGATATAAACACTAAAAATTATATTTTAGAAAACCAGTGACGATAAAATATATAAATTAAATAAATAAATAATATATATATATATATTTCTCACTTTACTCAGACGAGTAGGCGAGTAAAACACTAAAAAATTAAAAATAAAACATGTCGACTTTTTGAAAAAAAGAAAAAATAAGGGTAAAATGTAAATAGCCGTGAACTCTGCGGACCAAAAAGAAAGAAGGAAGAGAACTTTCTCTATTTTAGTTATTTTAGTTCTAAAAAATCTCCTTTCTCACTTACATAAAAGTGTCGTATTTTCATCATATTCATTTCATTTTACTTCTCTTTTCTGTTCTTTTTGTAAAACATGGATCAGAAAATTAAAAAAATTGCGTAGATTTTTCACAAAAGTAAATAAAGTGGAAGCTTGTGATTTAAGCCTAAAACATCAAAAAGCAATAAATTAAGGTTTAAACAATGCCATATCTTTTTCTATAAAATAATTATCACTATTTTTTTTAAGTAATAATTTTTTCAGATATATTAATTGTCAATTTTTTCTCATATTCTTATTTATTGTAAGACTTATATTAACAAGATACTTAGTATATAAGTGGATTTATTTGTTTGTTTAATATATGAATTACTAATTTAAAAAAATACTCAATTTAAAAATGTAAAAAAAAAAATTGATTATAATATATACGATAGTGAATTTTGCTTTTAGATTAATTCAACTTGATATGTCAAGAATCTTTGTTAACTTGTTTAACATTGAGGGTTAGTTTTTGTAGTTATACTAATGAAAACACTTGATCAAATATAAATTAAAAAAAAAAAGGAAATGTATAAGAATGAAGTGTATTTCTTTATTTAGAAAAAATTCTTTTTTTCATTAAGGCTTTGCTTAAAATTTTAGAAAGTGCACAATGGAATATAAAAAAAAAATAAAGTGCAGAATAATTATTATTAATTGAAAAATTAATAATTATTGTAGATATGCTTTTAATTCACATTATTTAAATTATATTATCTAACATGTGAATTAATTGGTAAAATATTATTTCATTTTAACATCTAATCTTAAAATCTAATCTTGAGTTTATATCTCAATAAATGCAGATACGTTGAATCATTGAAAAGATAATTTTGTTGTATATAAATTATTAATTCTTAGTAAATGGTTATCACTTTATTGTACCTCACCCTTTAAAAGCGGTATTTATTTATACATTAAATATTATTTTTATTTATATTAATATTATAATAATTTTCATCATACCCTTTTATGATTTTTTATTCATCTCTTCATCACATCATTCTATTTTATTTAACATTTTTATTTATGCTGACGTGATATCACTAATAAATTAATACGACACACTTATTTGTGAATAAAATTAAAAATTTGAAGATAATTTTGAAAAATATTAATAAAATTCAGCTTAGTCCTTAATGCATAGAGTGTTATTAAATAGAATTTTAAAAAATTTAGACTACTAAAATGATCCGATAGAATTTTATTTTTTTAAAATTTAATTTATTATTAAGATAAAATTCTTTTCTCACCACTTTAATTTTTTTAGGAATCAATAAAAAAATATTTTAGAATTTTAAAATACTAATTTAATAATAATATAAATTTTTAAAGTATTAGTTTAATAATAAAATATTGAGAAGACTAACGTACTTTCATTACAATTGGGATGGAAAGAGTTGATTGCTACGTGATAATCAACTTTTTGATACATAATAAGAAATGGAAGGCAAGTAAAAAAGGATAAACGGTGATGAAAAATGTTATTTATATACAATAATTTTATTTTATTTTTATAAATTTAAAATAAGTAAAAATAAATTAATAAATACTCATTTTAATATTTCAACTTACAAGTGTTGATCACTTTAATTTATATATATATATATATATAATAAATTATTTAAAAAATTACAGATTAAAGTAAAATTATTATAAAAACAAAAAATAAAGTAACTATTATTTATAATTTTAAGAATTAAAATAAATATTTATTTAAAAATAAATTTAGTATCAAACACCTTTTAAGAAATATATCAACTTTGAATGAGAAAAATGTAATAAAATTTAAAAATAGTAATGTAAAAAAAATATTTCTATCAAATGACTTAATTACAGTTTCATCTTTGTAAACGCTTGCATAAAAAGAAGTCCCTTACATCGTTTTTACAAAAGAATTAAAACAAGATAAACCATATAAAAGAAGTCCCTTACATTGTATTACGTAGAAATCTCTTGCCGTTATTTTTCTTTATTTAATAAATTTTTTATTTTTTAAAACATTTTTAAAATAAAAAATTTCCGTCGAGTGCATGTGAGAAAAAATAGTACGTGAAAAGGAAAGATTTATCTAAATGAGCCAACCTTTTCTTATTCATACACTTACATTAACTATAATAAAACAATCAACGATATCCTCTGCGGGCACATATGGAACAATTCGAAAGTAATATGCTTAAAACTTAAAAAGGGAAATGAAAATCACCAAAATAGAAGAGAAATAAGGAGAATCGAACAAAGTACAGACAGCCACAGCTAGATACACGATTAGTAGCAAATTTGGTTGAGGTTCAGCTAATGCTCCTCATAAACATTCTCCTCACCCTCTTCGTACTCTTCATCCTCGTCCGCGGTTGCATCCTGGTACTGCTGGTATTCTGCTACCAAATCGTTCATGTTACTCTCTGCCTCAGTGAACTCCATTTCGTCCATTCCTTCCCCTGTATACCAGTGCAAGAAGGCTTTGCGGCGGTACATTGCAGTGAATTGCTCACTCACCCTCCTAAACATCTCTTGAATTGAGGTGGAGTTACCAATGAAAGTGCACGACATCTTCAAATTCTTGGGAGGGATATCACACACACTCGACTTCACGTTGTTGGGAATCCACTCAACAAAGTACGAAGAATTCTTGTTCTGAACATTGATCATTTGTTCATCCACCTCTTTGGTGCTCATCTTTCCCCTGAACATTGCAGAAGCCGTCAAGTAGCGGCCGTGGCGGGGATCTGCGGCACACATCATGTTTTTGGCGTCCCACATTTGCTGTGTGAGTTCTGGGACAGTGAGAGACACGTATTGCTGTGACCCACGAGATGTGAGAGGCGCAAACCCAACCATAAAGAAGTGAAGACGCGGGAATGGGATCAGATTCACGGCCAGCTTCCTGAGGTCAGAGTTCAGTTGTCCAGGGAACCTCAAGCAGCAGGTAACTCCACTCATAGTTGCAGAAATCAGGTGGTTCAGATCACCAACTGCAATAAAAACCCATTAAAGATAGAGATAGAAAAAGATAAGGGTTTGTCCAAGTTGCTACAAGCAATAAATAATCCCATATAGATGAAGATTTTATTTATAAAATGTTAAATAAAAAATTAACACAATTTTTAATATAATGTCTTGACTTTGTTGGTCTATCTTGTATCTTAGACGGGGTTATTTATCTATTTTACACAACAAAGTTATTGTTGTCACGTGCGGGAGTGGGAGAGGAATACTCACAACTAGGAGTGGTGAGTTTGAGAGTCCTGAAGCAGATGTCATAGAGTGCTTCGTTGTCAAGAACCATGCACTCATCTGCATTCTCCACGAGTTGGTGCACAGATAAAGTAGCATTGTATGGCTCCACAACCGTGTCAGAGACCTTTGGAGAAGGGAAAACAGAGAAAGTGAGCATCATTCTGTCAGGGTATTCCTCCCTGATCTTCGATATCAAGAGGGTTCCCATTCCAGAACCCGTGCCACCTCCAAGCGAGTGACAAACCTGAAAACCTGATAAAGGATTCCATATTTAAGACACGGAACACAAGATGACACATACGCAAAGCAAGTTCACAAACAATCAAAAATCACATTGCCCGTAGCATCTCACAAGTCACTTAAATAAGACCATAATCAAACTAATTTCATTCCTCACCCTGTTAAAGAACTATTCTCATAACAATTTTGGCTTATAATCCATAAAGCAAGATCTCATAAGTCACATCCTGGCTGTAACGAACTGTTACTCTTTCCAACTAAAGATCTATATCTAAACATATTTTTTTTCATTTATTATGTCTAATTTTGGTTTATCAATTTTCCCTTAACTTAAATACAAAGTTCATTCGCAAATCACATCATCGGTGTTTACCAATCAACCTGACCCTATTTCACTATCACATATCATAAACACGAAACAAAAAGATATTTTTCATTCAACGACCAAGTCTACGTGGTCCCTTCGTGTCTTCGCACTAGAAAGCAAGCAATCGAGTGCCTTAAACGGAAGCATCAATTATTGCACTATAAAGCTGACATGACAAAAAAATAAAAAGAAAAACTAACACTTCTAGCTTAGTTCCAGAATCCAGATCTGTCAGCATTAATTTATTTATTTTTTTATAATAGATCCATCGTCACAGAAAAACACACTAATCATCACACGAATACAAAAAGAAACTCCTAAAAGTTCCGTTAAACGACGAATCAGTCAAGAACACTTTACACACTGAAATTAAAAAAGAATAGGAAGTATACCTTGCAAGCAGTCACAATTTTCGGCCTCTTTGCGAACGACGTCGAGAACAGAATCGATTAACTCAGCGCCTTCGGTGTAGTGACCTTTGGCCCAGTTATTGCCAGCGCCGGACTGGCCGAAGACGAAGTTATCGGGGCGGAAGATCTTGCCGTAAGGGCCGGATCTGATGCTGTCCATGGTGCCTGGTTCGAGATCCATGAGGACGGCGCGTGGAACGTACCTGCCACCGGAAGCCTCATTGTAATAAACGTTGATTCTCTCGAGTTGGAGATCGTTGGCGGAATCGCCGCTGTACTTTCCGGTGGGATCAATGCCGTGCTCGTCGCATATTACTTCCCAGAACTTGGACCCGATTTGGTTACCGCATTGGCCACCTTGCACGTGCAATATCTCCCTCATCGTTCGTTACTTTTTGCTATGAATTGAATTGAAGGTTTTGGAACCCAGATTTATAATTGTATATATGGTTATGATTATGGTTATGTAATGCGAGCGAAAGAGAAGAATTGGGAGGGTAATAATGGAAGATCGGTTTTTTTTTTATATATTTTTTGTTTTGTTTCAGAGTGTGGTGTGGGTTTTGTGGTTCAGGCGCCAACTGTACCAGCGCATAACTGTCCCTACCTTTCTCAACCTCTTTCCCATCATGTACATTTCTTCCCTCTATTTTTAGCTTGTAAATCCAGCATTATCTTTCTGATATTTACACCTTCGTGTTTATGTCTACCTACATTAATTATGTCATCGTATTTACGAAATCATGCCAAGCAAATCTATAACCATATAGTAGACTCTCAAAATGTTAAAATGTAAATATTTTTGTGGTCGTAATAAACTAATGTATCAAAGTAATGACACAAATTAGATTAAAAATTTGAAGTTATGGCACAATAATTTAAAAGACTAATTCAATAATCAAAGGTATTAGAAGATTAACTGGTCATGAAATTTTAAATACTTATGATTCTTTTTTTTTTTCTCACATTTTTCGTAAACTATTGAATATACAAGTATCTATCACTAAAATTTTAAGGCTATTTAACATTATTATTACCCTTTCTAAAATAGTGCCTCATTGTATAAGTATTTAAAAAAAAAATTTTACTAATCAGATTCTTTTTAGAACAACAATTATACTTGGTTAATATATATATATATATATATATATATATATATATATATGAGGCATTTCAAGTGAGAGGTGAAAGGCATTAATAATGGAGAGGTGAAAGGCATTAATAATGGTAATTGGCAAGACAGAAAAAAGTGGATAGCACGATAGCAACATCAAATCTAAACTCTTTATTTTGATCAAACGGCCATTATTAATGTCTCTCATCTCTCATAATAACAAACTCTTCTCACTTGAAATGCCCTATATATATATATATAGACATGATCTTCTTATATCGGTGTAAGTCTAAAAACTCTTACATCTAATCTGATCATTTCATTTAACTTAAATCTAACGTGTTATAATTTATTATTTTACTAGCTGTTAGATTTAAGTTAAATGAAAAACTCATATTGAGTATAAGAGTTTTTAGACTGATACTAGTGTAAAAAGATCATTCTTCATATATATATATATATATAATAACGACAGGTGCGGGAGCCATTCACTTGAAGGAATGACGCGATACTTGTAATACAACACTAAAAAAATTTTTTGAAACAATTGAATGCCAAAAAAGTGTTTCAGAAAAAAGACCAGGACTAAGCACTAAACTTTAGTTTGAAATAATACTATATAAAAAAAATATATGAACAATGAGAAGATTCTGTACATTGATGCATCAAGTCACGTATGCATAAATAAAACTAAATTCATCGGATTTTTTTTTCTCAAATTTTTATGTTGTGAGAAAACACGAAACTAACTTTTGATTCAATTCAGGTTTTCTTAAATAGTTTTGTCTTTCCTTTTTTACAAAAATTGAATGTGTATATACACTTTGGATTATTTAGATGTTAGAGTTTAGCGATAAATGAGGGAAAGGTAAAAAGGAAACTAGAGAAAAGTATTTTTGTATTATTGATATTGAATAGAATGATTTACAAATAGATGGATAGATATCTTATATAGATGCAGTGACAATAGTTAAAAAGGAGAAAGTTAATACAGTTGTATATTATTAATTTAAAATTAAATCATAACATATTCTAATTAATATTATTAGTGCCCTTTACACCCCTCTCTCTCAAACTCATGTTATCTCTTGAGGTAACCATGAGTTTGCTTTGGAAAGCTTTAGAGGCCAGAGAGTTACTTGGTAAAGATATTAGCAACTTGAAATTGTGCAGGTAAATGAATAACTTGGATAGCTCCTTCAATAATTTTATCCTTGACAAAATAGAAGTTAAGCTCAAAATGACTGCTAACAAAACCACACCAAGATTATCACAATAAGTTTTTGGAATTATAGCTAGGACCCTTAATTCACTGAGGAGTGATTGTAGCCAAAGTAACTCAGCAGTAACAACAGCAAGACTCTGAAACACAGCCTCAGTGCTACTTCTTGACACAACTCTTTGCTTCCTTGAACACTAAGAAATAAGTTGCCTCCAAGATAGATACAAAAGTCAATTGTAAACTTTCTGTCATCAAGATCTGACCCCTAATCAAAATTAGAAAATGCTTAAAGAGTAAGATGAGGTAGCTTCTGAAAGTGTAGACCATAGTCAATGCTGCCTTGTTAATATCTCAAAATTCGTTTCATAGCTTTCCAGTGATGCTCTTGTGGCTTATGCATATATTGGCAAACTTTATTAATGGAATAAGATAGCTCAAACTTTGTGATTGTAATATTAAGTAGGCCTTCTACAATAAACTTATAAAATGAAGGATCATATACAACTACAGAGCCATCAGATGTGAGTTTCATGCCTGAGACCATTGGAGTTGGTAGAGGTTTGGAATCATCCATTTTAGCTTTATGGAGAAGGTTGCAAATATATTTAGCCTGAGACAAAAAAAGACCTTCATCTTCACTAGTGGAGACCTCAATGCCTAATGTAATGATCCAAGATCTTTAAGACTGAACATAGAGTTTAACTTGAATATAAGAGCTGTAACTTCAAATTTTGAACTGCCTATAACTATGATATCATCCACATAAATTGGAAGCAACAATGTGGAGTGAGGAGTTATTACGATCAATAAAGAGGTATCACTCTTGGCTAATCTAAATTCCATCTTGAATAAAGTATTGCTCAAGGTCTGGAACCATGATCTGGGGGCTTGTTTCAACTCATAAATTGCTTTGTTGAGCTTGCAGACTTTGCCTTTATGTGTGGTATTGAAACCTGGAGGTTGAACCATATAAACAAACTCATTAAGAGCACCATCCAGAAATGCGTTATTGATATATATATATATATATATATATATATATATATATATGTCATTGCCTAGCCAATGCCAATGTAAGAACAAACCGTACTGTAGTTGGCTTAACAACTGAATTGAAAGTATGTGTGAAATCAAAACCTTCTTTTTGGTCAAATCCCTTTACAATTAGGCGTGCTTTTTGTTTTTGAACAGTGTCATCTGCATTGTATTTACTCTTGAATAACCACTTGCAACTAATAGCTTTGCTTCCAACAAGTAGATCAACTAAACACCGTGTGTTATTTCTAAGCAAAGTGTCATATTCATCTTTCATAGCTTGCACCATTCAGGTTTAGACAAAGCTTTCTTCACTGATATGGACTCAATTGTATGATCATAGGTGGATTTGTCAATAGCAGTAGCATAGGTTTTAGCTTTGAAAATCCCTATTGACTATACTCTGCTCTGTGGCTCTTACAGTAATAACAGTACTAGGAACAGAAACAGTGGGATCAGTGTGTTAGTTTCTAGAATCGCATCATTATTGGTAACATTAGTGGTATTAACAGGATTATAGTTATCAGTTGGACCATTCTCATCAACAAGAACTAAAACATTAAGAGAAGGATGAATAAAAGAACATTCAAATTCAAATATAGATGAACAAATGAAAGGATTAGGATTTTCTTTGTATGAAAAAAGAGACTCATCAAATTTAACATGTCTAGAAACATAGCATTTTCCATAAGAGATAGGCATTTATAACCTTTATGTTGATTACTATAACCAAGAAAGAGAAATAAGTGAGACCGGTATTCTAACTTGTGCCTATTGTAAGGCCATAAAAGAGGATAACAAGCATAGCCAAAGGTCTTTAGGAAATGATAATCATGATGTGTATACAAAAGGGTTTAATGAGGACTAAAGTTGTTCAATGAAGGAGTAGGTAAGTAGTTGATAAGTCTAGTAGCAGTTAAAAAGGCCTTTCCCCAAAAATGAAGAGGTAAGGAAGCATTGACAAGCAAAGTTAACCCAATTTCTGTAATATGCCTATGCTTCCTCTCAGGACTGCCATTTTGTTCGTGTGTGTGGACAGGAAAACTTATGTTTAATTCCATGTCTTTTAAATACTTGGTAAATTTAATGTATTCTTTTGCATTATTTGACTGAAGTGCTTTAAGTTGCATGCCTAACTGAAGTTCAACAAAAGTTTTAAACTGTAGAAAAGCATAAAAAGCTTGAGATTTTTCATTTAAAAGACAAATCCAGGAATATCTAGAATAAACATCCAAAAAAATAATGTAATATCTAGCACCAAAAGAAGAAGGTACTGGAGAAAGGCCCCAAATATCAATGGAAACAAGTTCAAGAGGAGTGTTATATGCAGTAATTGATTTCACAAATAGTAGTCGATGGGCTTTATTCATACAACATGAATCACACAAAAAAAATTTGGGAAAATGAATATTAAGTATATTGCAATGATTTAAAGCCAATTTCGCAATTTTAAGGGAGGGATGTCTAAGCCTTGAATGCCAAAGGTAGAAGAAAGAATGTCTAGAAGCCTTCTAAACTTGATGAGCAAAAACAGATTGAAATTTTTGAAAATAAGGAAAGATATATAAGTTGCCCTTAAGCTACCCTTGGAGGATGATGTCCTTGGTATCCTGAGTTTGCACATTGCAAAAGTCAGGCCAAAATTCAAAAAATACCCTATTATCTTGTGCAAACTTGAAAACACTTAGCAAATTTTTAGTTATGGATGGGACATGAAGCAAATTATGCAGAACAAAGTGTTTAGATGACATACGATTATGAAGATAAGAATTACCTCTAATGTAAGCACTCTTCATGGATAGATTAGACTCATCATAAGTAATATAATGAATGTAACACCTTAATTTAATTTTCAAATAATAAATCCACAAAATGGAGGTAATAAAATTTTCATTTAAATAAAAAGATCCTATCGTAGAGTTTCACAAAATAGTTCAAACAATAAAGGATTACAAATTTATATTAAAAATTGCTATAGGACTAATTCAGTCACATCATATTTCAAAATATAATCTATGTCCTATAGCAGTTTATCCTTCCTTCACTGAGTCTGGTGCTGAT